GATAAAATTTAAACTATTTCAGATGGATGTAAAAAGTGCCTTTCTGAATGGATATCTCACTAAGGAAGTATATGTGGCACAACCCAAGGGATTTGAGGACCCTAACCTAACAGACCATGTATACAAGCTAAGGAGTGTACTTTATGGATTAAAACAGGCACCTAGAGCATGGTATGAAAGGCTAACTAAGTTTCTCACCACAAAAGGATACAAAAAATGGGGAATTGATAAGACACTGTTTATAAAAAATGAGGGTGGAGAAATCATGATTGCCCAGATATATGTGGATGACATAATATTTGGGGGAGTGTCAGAAAAGATGGTGAAGCAATTTGTGAATCACATGCAGTCTGAGTTTGAAATGAGCATGTGTGGAGAACTAACCTACTTCCTTGGACTACAGGTCAAGCAAATGAATGATTCCATATTCATCTCCCAAAGCAAATACACCAAAAATATAGTCAAGAAGTTTGGGATGGACAATGCAAGTCACAAAAGAACACCTGCCCCCACTCATCTAAAGTTATCCAAAGATGAAAAGGGTATGGGTGTTGATCAAAGTCTATACAGAAGCATGATTGGTAGCCTGCTGTATCTTACAGCCAGCAGACCAGACATTGCCTTTGTTGTGGGTGTATGCGCAAGGTATCAAGCAGATCCTAAAGTAAGTCACATGAACCAAGTTAAAAGGATTCTCAAATATGTGAATGGCACTTATGACTATGGCATACTCTACTCCCATGGGTGTGATCCTACCTTGTATGGCTATTGTGATGCTGATTGGGCTGGCAGTGCTAATGATAGAAAAAGCACATCTGGTGGATGCTTCTTCTTGGGAAACAACCTAATATCTTGGTTCAGCAAGAAGCAGAGTTGCGTCTCACTATCTACTGCTGAAGCTGAATATATAGCAGCTGGCAGCAGCTGTTCTCAGCTGGTTTGGATGAAGCAAATGTTAACTGAATACAATGTCACTCAGGATGTCATGACATTGTACTGTGACAATCTCAGTGCTATTAACATTTCCAAAAATCCAATCCAATACAGCAGAACGAAGCACATTGATATAAGACATCACTTCATTAGAGATCTTGTGGAAGACAAAGTGATTTCCTTAGAGCATGTATCCACTGAACTACAGCTAGCTGACATCTTTACCGAGGCTCTAGATGCTGCCCAATTTGAAAATCTTAGAGGCAAGTTAGGTATTTGCATGTATGAGGATGCATAACAATTAATGACACGTGAGAATTTTATCACATCAATGCAGTCCGTCTTTGACCAATAAAGCTCTCCATTCCACACAAACGTGTCGCTTTGCCCCCATTGCCTTCTCACATCTCTCTCATACCTTCACTCTCGACACAAGCATGTCATCTTATCATGAAGGATCTTCCTCTAAGTCCCCTCCCAAATCCTCCAAAGATACTCCTCCCTCCACTGAAAAGCCAAAGACCAAGTACCCTCCTCGCACTGCAGAAAATCTTAGGAGTATGCTAAACAAAGAAGGCTCTGCATACGTGGCCAAAACCATGGGGGAAATTGTTGACGATATCATCAAAAGAAGACTGCCTATTAAGGGCTTCACCATTCCCCTGGCTCGCAGAGATCCCCCTCATGACTCTGAATTTCCAGAGGAAGACTCGTATGATGGAAACCAGAACATCTCCCTATCAGATTTGGATGACAGTGACTCCAGTTCCTCCTCTGATGAAGAAGATTGAGCAAAGGGTGTTGCTGTTGGTTCTGTCAAATTTAAATTTTCTGTGTAATCTGAATTTGTGATGCTCTTCAAAGAGCAATTTTGTTGTAATGTAACCCCTAACAACTGTGATGTTACCTATGATGATCTATGTTATTTGGAACCTAATTTGTAGCTAAAAAGAGGGAGAGAGAGAGAGAGAGAGAGAGAGAGAGAGAGAGAGAGAGAGAGAGAGAGAGAGAGAGAGAGAGAGTAATAGAGTACAACAGGTAATAGAGGACAGCAGGTGGAAGAACAGAACAAGGAGAACTAGCTTGAGCACACATGTGCCAATGTGCATATGATATTAGCATATGATATTAGTCTTGCACATTTACAGGTGTAACTACAGGTGCAGCTGATGAAAGGTGTGATGACAGCTGACAATGCTGTTAGCAATAAAGTGATATGCATGTCTAGCCTGGATAGGAATGAATGTATGCTAGAACTAGGAGCAAACCTTGTGTGTGTACTTCAGGATGTTATCCTGAAGGTCATAACATCCAGAGCAGACTAGATGAATATGAGCAGAAAGTCTTGTGCAACTCTTCAGGGGGAGTAGCATAGGTGTGTATGTGACTTCAAAAGGTCATTCTGAATGACTAGACATCCACAGAATGGATGCTTGTTTCTGTGACTGCAGAATGATGGTGATGAGCAGGTTGTGTGCACAACTGATCTGATCAGTTGAGGGGGAGAACACCAGAGTGTTACTCAAAGAGATGTGACATCTGTAGTGATAACTACCAGATGATTAACAGAATGAGCTAAATGTGAGAGCTAACTGTGAGGACTCTGAGTGACTTGAGCTAAGGACTAGCTGCATGACTGAACACATCATAAGTCTTCTGCTGTGTGTAAACTCTGATATGTTAACAGGTTGTTTTAGCCAAACATTTGCCAAAGAGGAAGTTTGTAAGTGCGTTGGATTGACTACATTTTATGGTAAAACTTTAGAGTGTGCATGTATGTCATACGGATTGTTAGGACATACTTAATGATGTGTGTTTAGGGTAAGTTAACTATAAGTTAACTTAGTTAAGCTGAATGTCATAACATTGAACGTATGACATCCAGCGGGCAAGGTTGTTTTTTTGGTATCTATAAACTAGGAAACAGAATAAATGCTCAAGCTGGATATCAGGAGAATTTCTAGAAGCCCTAGGCGAACTAGAAGATCCCTGAATTCAGTGGCAAGTGTGCAGATCTTTGAGAATAGGTTTTGTTATGGATAAAACCTAATTAATGTACCAAGGCCCAAAAGGACTGACAGCTGCTATAAAGATCAGAAGATGCAATCCTGAACAGCAGGCATTTGAAAACAGAATGAGAAAGAGTGCAGATTGCAGAGTCCTGTGTAAGTGAAGAAGGCTAGTCTTCATGTGTGAATTCTGTCTAGGAATACTAGTAATCCAAACAATTGTCTGGTGGATGATTTGCATTGGATAGGTAGATTCTAGGATGTGTCTCACTCGAAGCTTTGAAGCAAGAGTGTGTGAGTTTCTTGATCAAAGTTGTGAAGCAAGATCAAGGTGTGTATGAAGTGTCTCTTCATATTGTCTTCTGTAATTGTTTAAAATCACTGTTGTGTGATTGAGGGGGAGTGAGTGGGTATACTCAAGTCTAGAGTGTCTCTAGGTTGAAGTGTCATTGGGTAGAGATTAAGTGAGGAGTGCAAACTAGAGGTTTAACTCTGAATTGATTCTACTAATAGTGAATCTCCCTGGCTTGGTAGCCCCCAGATGTAAGTGTTGTTGACACTGAACTGGGTAAACAATTGTTGTGTTATTTACTACTTTTATTATTGTTGAGTATTAGCTGTTAAGTAGCAGATGTCACAGTGGATGTTATAACCTTGGGAATAACATCCATCGTGTGCTTGCCAGAATTTTCAATTGACATCAGAGCAGACACCCTGCCTGTTTATTCTGTGTGAGATCTAGGGAAATAAAATTCTGGTACTATGGATAAAGATATTGGATTCACCAATAGACCTCTAATTCTGGATGGTTCTAATTATGACTATTGGAAGCCTAGGATGATTGCTTCCTAAGGTCCTTAGACAACAAAGCTTGGAGAGCTGCAAACTCTGGCTGGGAACATCCTGTGAAGACTGACAAGGATGGAGTATTTGTGCAAATTCCTGAAGAGGAATGGACCAAAGAGTAAGAGGCATTGGCAGAATTTTCATACTCAATGTAAAACTGGAATTAGACTAATTCTTTTTGATCGTGAATTAGATCAATTAATCGAGAAGTACGTTGAATTGATATAAATCAATTAATCGTGAAACTTATTCGACTTTAAACTTATTGCAAACTATCTACCTTAAACTTATTCTACTTTAAACCAAATCAATTTTATTGCAAACTATGGATGTCGATCTTGATTATCCCAAACTATTCTACTTTTGTTTTTGAAGCTTATTGAAAAATCGTTACCGAATCTCAATCCGATTTAAAACAAATGGTTACCGTTTTTTTTTTAATTTGATAAATGGGCCACCAAATTTAAAATATAAATTTGAACTAGATTTTAAAATTTGAATTAATTTGGATAGGAATTTAATTTATGGTTATTTTGCACACCTTTCTGATTTTGATTATTCATTGGGAAGAATTTTAAACTTACAGTGTATTGTGTTTTTTTTTTTTTTTTCTATTTTTCCATTATGGGGCAACATTAGATTCAACTATTAGCTGATCTCAATCGGAAGAAAACTCCTCAACTTTTGGAATTGGTGAAAGATAAGGTGGGGCAACATTTTTGAAAAACTCCTCAACTTATATGGAAAGAATATTATGGAGCAACACTGTTTTGCTTTGTATGCGGCTGTTTTGAAACTTTTTAAAATGACATACATGTTTCTTGATTAAGAGTTTGTTTGTTTTAGCTTTTGGTACAACAAATAAGCTCATAATCACCAATACGATTGACAAATGGATTGGCTACAACTTCAAATCCAGAAATATAATTACTTTTTGGTACAACGCAAAACAATTAATAATTTAAATAAATAAAGAAACTATTAGGGAAGATAGTGGCACACAGAGGAGGGTTTTCTATTCTTGAATGTAACATGCTAAACTGTAAATTAATTCAACAACAAAATTGACTTGGACAAAGCTCTGTGGACCCCTCTCTCTGCCACAGTTGTGATGATGATGAACCAAACCATATGAACTCTGTGACTATTGTATATAGAAAGGTAGTATCAGCTTGAGGGTAGGACTGTAGTTTCAACTTGTTTTTCCAGTGACTATTGTGTTGATGTTGAGTTTCCATCAGTAACCCAATACTGTTTGACAGCAATTAGTACTTTCTCAGGAACAAGAGGTCCATCTTCATGATCAACCAATTTAAAATTCCATCTCATTCCCCCGATTAATTTCTTCACCTTAATTAATACATCCACTTCGTCACGGATTATGACAGCACCTTCTGGTCGCAAAATCCTGTCCATCTCCAGAAGAATGTCTTCTGTATTGCATCTGCATTCAATTGCATCATACGCATGTGTGAGCTAAGAAACACGGACACCGACACTGACACATCTTTTTTAAGAGTCGGCGGTGCTACAGAGTGCATGAGGCACAAGATAGAACACAACTAAAATAATTAACTAGAAATTTTTAATAGTCATTTGACTAGAGGAACACTTACTTATCTTGGTAGAGACTAAAGAGGCGATTGGCATGAATGAGATCGTATGTCCTTGGATAGGTGGAAAAGGCTTCACACCTGGATCGAAAAGGATCAAATAGTTAAAGACCGAGATCTGGTGTGAATAAAATAGGATCGAATAGTAAGAAAAAAAACCGTACCAATCATGATAGATGCCAATGAGTCCTCGCTCAAATACCACACCGAGAGTACTTTTCTCGGCTATAGTTGGCACAACATTCATCACCCATGACTTCGACGAATGAATGGCTGCAGCAAAACTACCCAAACCAGCATTCATATCCATAATGTTACGATATCTACCAGAATCCAACAGTGAATTGATTTTCTTGTATGCATTGACATGCTTTTTCCATGTTTTGTTATCATCCTGGTATGTCTCGGAAGAAACTCCGGGAATAGAGCCGCTAGAAACTCTCGGAGGGATTGCATATAGCCTGTTTGGAAATGGTTTAAGCTCACCCCCAGAAACTTTAGGAGTCGGAGTAACGCAGGCCTCCATTTTCTTATACCTATAGCCACAGAACAAAGCCATTCTGAGTCAGTACACCTCCATTTTGTATGAAGTTAAGCATTAAAGCTCATATTATGCCAAGCAGAGAGAAATAAAAGGAATCTAAAATATTAGAAATTATTTATATAACAATAAAAGAGGGAAGAGGGTGCATACCAGACATCATTAGGATCAGAGGATTCGCAAAATTCAACATTGGAGTCATCTTGTCTGCTACGGCATAATTCAGAGTCTGTCATCTTTTGCCAAATGGCAGTTTCAGCCTTCTCAGACTTCTTCTCCCAGCAAAGTTTCTTAGCAACCTCTTCAATCTTTCGTTGTTCTTCCTCAAGTTCCTCCTTTGGTCTCTGCCATGGTTTGTAGTTTACTTTCCAATTGATTGGAGGACCAGAAAGAACCCAATAACCACCGGGTCTTAGAACTCTATCAACTTCCATCATATATATTCCACCTGCAAAAACACCGCCATTTATCATCTCAAGTAGTACATAGTTTGTAAATAAGAAGATAGTGTTTAGTTTTACTGTGATTTTCTTACCATTTGCTCCCCAGGGAATCAAACAGCGAGAACAATGAGCCATATCGAAAGCTCTCGATGGATATGGCAACTTTATAGTTCCGAGAACACCAATAACGGCTGGTACACCTCTTTCAAGAGCAAATTGTACTTGTGCTTCATGAGAGTCCCTCGGTGCAAACGACATGGCAACAACATTTCTGCTCCAAAGATATGCACCCCAACTTGCAACCTGACACATGAATACATACACAGCTTAAAACCCTGTTCAGATAAATAGCTTAATTAACCACTTATCATATAAGCACTTATGTATAAGCTATTTCTATGACAAAAGATAAAATAAACTCAAATAAACATACCCCACAACCGGTGTCCAGCGCCGTCCTCACAGTCCCATCATCTATAGGTACAACAGAAGCAAGTTGATCGATATATTTATCTGCACCTTGAGGAAATTGTGTTCCACCGCCAGGGAATCTAAACACATTTCCCTCGTATTGGATCCAATTCTGAATAGCCTTCTCAACTGTGAGACTCTTGTACGGCGCATTCGCATAAGGAACATAATCCCTACTCTTAGGCCATGGAAAAGGTGTTACATACCCTTTTGGCGCCGGGATCATACAATGTAACTTCTCTTCCTCCGGAGGACAGTGTCTCTCTCTATAGTTCATGTTTTCTCTCGGAAACGTCATAGCACGCCGTTGGTCTTGACAAGGAGTGTAATCAGTATAACGAGCCGCACAAGGTTTAAAAACCTTTGTCTTTGAATCAGATTCGTCGATTTGACTAACTTCTCCAGCATGGTGCGAATCGAAACTTAAATTCGGAACTACGTCACATTCTGCGTTATTCTTGGTAATCTCTAATGCTATGCTATCTCCTTTTCCAAAACCACTTCTCTGCCATGCTCCCAATATATAAAAGAAACAGCACAGACCAACTACTATAAAGATCTGCACAGAGCTTCTAGTCCTATTATCAGCAGCACTTGGTTTCGCCATCTAGAACCTAAAAAGAAAAAAAAAATCTTATTTAGAAACACGAAAGTTACGAAATCGAATTCACTCAAGATTTGATTTCTAATATTATGATCCACATCATCCACTCAAGATCTAGCACCAAAATTTCAAGTCAAATCAAACATACTTTCTTCAAATCTTCAAAATGAACAAAGCTAACATGATACACATAAACAAAACAACTTATCCTACTATGGATCAATCACAACACCACTTTCCATGTTTGTCATAATCATAACTAATGTCCTTTCACTTTCAGTTACAGCAACCAAACAAATTATTAACTAGTATCTTATAATAAATACATGTCATTAATATCGTTAAGCCAATTCAGTGGATAGTTGTGCAGTGGATCGACATAACATCAGATACACGCTATTAAAAGAAAAGTGTAAAGCTAACTTCAGATCTACATAACAGTGACAAGCTAGTCTCTATTGTTGATCCCAAAAAATTGCAAAAATGGTAGAAAACAAAAACATATGAACTAGCCCAACAGGTGAATTTCAAAAATAACTAAATTAAGAGTAATAAATGAATGCCCATTAAAGCTATAAACAAAAGAATTAACCATAAAAATTGAACCTTTGATCCCAAAAATAAAGTAAAGCAAATTCAGAAAATTTAGCTAATGGATCTAAAATTGAGAGATCTGAGATTGGAATAGTGAAAGAAAGAGAAAAACCTGGATAAATTATATAGTGAGGAACCAAAGAATGATGATTTTCATGTATGAATGAGAGTGAGATGAGAAATAGCAATAAAACGCGTTAGCTAGAGTTATATAGAAGAAAGAAAAGAAAGGAAAAAGGAAAAGTGATTATATATTATTATAAAGAAAAAGGTATGAATGTGTGTGTGTTGTGATTGTGGCGGTGCTGGAAAATCTGTGAGACTGTTATTATAGTTTTACTAGTTTTCAATTTTACAGTGTTGGTTTGGTTAGATGATTGGTTGGTAGATGAATTGAATTTAGGATTGGACAAAAATGTAGATCGTGTATACACGTTGTTTCTTGTTCCTTGAGTGAGATTCTAGGATTATTAAATTTAAGATTAAGATACGCTAAGTAGGTATGTTTTTTTCTTTATCTTAGTATCTTAAGTGTCTACGCTAAAATATGTTTTTTAACATTGCAATTGTATAGACTAAACACTCTGAGATGAAAATCACAATAAGATGGTAAAATTCTAACATATGTTTAATGTTTAGACTACCATATAAATTGACATTTATTTTGTTTTTTATTAGATATATTATTTTACTAAAATTCAATAAAATGAATTTGATTTTAAATTTTTTGTGTTTGTATATTGAATAATTAACTCATGTCTCTATCAAAATATCTTCTTCTCCAAAGAGCATGAATATCTTTAATCTCATGATCACTTTCAACAACCTAGTTTATAATTTTCATTAATTTTTTAATGTCAATTATTTTAAGAATTCTTATATCCGCACTTTCAATTTTATTTATATCTTTCTGACTATTATATTTTTTGACATAGATGTTATCACAAGCCTTCGGCCTATAGGAATATTTTTTAACTCTAATTTTGCTTTGAACAACACTCTAGAGCATATCATGTCTCTTTTAAGTTATGCTCAATTTATCTAGAATAATAATGAGCCAATTGGTGATGTATTAGAAAATAAACACGTAATTTTATTAGGCCTTAAGGAGGATAGCCTAAAAAATAATATGGAAGGTCAAACATGCTGACGGAGGAAAGCTTCTTTACGAAGCTATAGGTCGCTCAAAATGGACTATGAAGCCACTCGAATGTCCATATTAGATCGTCCAATTAGGCTTTATCCATTTGGATTGATTTCTAATATCCAATTATCCAATAAATGTAGAAGATGATGTGCCTCAATGCAACAAACTTAAAGATGGTGTCAAGGAGGATAATCACCCCTCCATGATAAAAGGGAGAGTAAGTCTTCCACTACTCCCATGATTCTAATCATGGAATGAAGAAAACCATATTTTGATTTTCTGGCCCAGACTCAATGGGTCTTCTATAAATAACTTAATCCCATCATTGAGAAGATCATCCATAATTTCTAAATAGAAAAGCACTGAGTCTCTCATTCCCTATGTAAGCGAACTTTCTCTCCTCTATTGTTTTTTTGAAAGTATAATTGACACCCACTATTAGGCCCGATAAAAATGACTTGAGCCTCAACTTCAATCCAAGTGAAATTAACACATGGAGGGAAGATGTTGACGAAAAGCTAGCGACAAGAATAACCATTGAGGATCCGGAAAAAAGGTAAACATAAATTTTTAGTATGTTTGATGATAAAAAAATAAGCAACTACTTAGTTGACTATAACCTTTACATCTTGGATCATCTTAATAATACATGCAAGCACATAGATCCATACTTAAGTGGCTAAATTAAGGCCTAGTTGGTTTTATCAAGTATTTCTTTATGAAACTGTGGGAGCCCAAAAATGATAGATTAAGGTTTAAAGGGACTTCCTTAAAGGTCAAATGTTGTCTTTGAGTACAAAAGGTGGTAAGGAGACTAAGGTTTTTCCTTACAAACATCAATTGGTATTGAAGCAAGAAGACTAAGGTTTTTCCATATAAACCATTATGTTAAGAGTGATCATGTTCTCTAAAATAAACAAAAATAAGCAATGAACACATATGAAAAGGGTGACAATATTAAGTACTCAAAAATCAACTAAGATTTCTCTTCTCACCAAATATTTTATGCATCTCTTTCTTGGTTGATGCCTCTACCAACAACCATGTTTCTAGGTGGCGCTTCTTCCTTTTTGGATCATTGTCGTTAAAAGGTACAACTTCATCCATAAAGCCAAAATAATTCCAAAACTTGGTGAGGATGCTCTTTAAACTCTCCCCTTTTTGGAACATATCACAAGACATGTAGATATAAGTTCTCAGGCTCTTCAGAAAAGGATTATTCATCCAATTCTCTGAGAAATTATCTACACGGTTCAGAGACATTGGATTATCTTAAGGAGAAGAAGGGGTGTACTCTGGGGAGAGATTTATATGATCCATATCCACATGGAACTGAGATATCGCACACATGCTTTCATGAGCATCATGACTAAGAGGCATAACTAGATAATTCATATCCTTAAAGTTCTTAAAGTTATATGTGAGATATTGAACCAAACTCTAGTATGGTCGAAGGGTAACTTCTTGGTTCGACAATTCGAAAGAATCTTAGCATGTTATCGAAGTATGTTTATATGTTGTAGTCGAAGTATGCTAGGAGTGTTAGCATGTCGAATTGGGCCTTGATTGTAAGTCCAGTTGTTTAAGTTAGTTTGTCCCCTAAGTTAGCTTGTGTAATGAGCCTATATGTAAAATCCCATTAGGTTAGTTGTTAGTTTTCTAATAAATAGCATGTTAGTCTCTCATCTTTGGGGTGTGGTGCAAATCCTAATTAGGGTGAGAGAGGTTATTTGTTATTCTGTAACACTTGAAATTTTGTTTCATAGAGAAAGAAAAAAATATCACTTTATAACCAATTTCATTATGTTCTTCTTATTTCCCTTTGTCTAACTTTGTGGGTTTCTTGTTGTTCAAGAAACTGATTATACTTTGTTATTCTGGTATTGTTTTTCACAATAAATTGGTGCGGTGAGTATGGAAGAAGATGACATCAACAAAGTATGAGATTGAAAAGTTCACCAGAGTGAACGATTTTGGTTTATGGCGCTTGAAGATGAAAGTCCTACTGGTTCAGCAAGGTTGTTTATAAGCATTGAAGGGAGCCCCAACCATGGACGATACATTAACGGACAAAGAAAAAGGGAATATTGTAGAGAAAGCCCACAGTGTCATTTTATTGAGACTTGGTGATAAGGTTCTTCAACAAGTTTCGAAGGAGACAACGACGTCTGGGTTATGGGTGAAACTCGAAAGTTTATACATGACCAAATCGTTGGTAAATCACCTCTACTTGAAGTAAGCTTTATATTCATTCAAGATAAGTGAAGACAAATTTATGGCTGAGTAGTTGGATATGTTCAATAAGATGATTCTTGATCTTGAAAGTATCAATGTCAAGATCGAGGATGAAAATCAAGCGTTATTGTTGTTGTGTGCTTTGCCCAGATCACATGCTCACTTCAAAGAAACTCTCTTGTATGGAAGAGAGTTTCTGACCTTTAATGAAGTTCAATCAGCCTTGTATTCTAAGGATTTGAATGAACGAAAGGACCACAAGTCATTTTTGACTGGTGATGACTTTTCGATTAAGGTGAAATTCATAGAGAGAGAGATGGGAAGTTCGATAAGAAGAAGGGTAAAAGTCAGCAGAAGTCTTATAATGGTGATGCATCTGGTCTTTGATGTTATCATTGTAAGAAGGAGGGTCATACAAAAAAGTTTTACCTTAACGCTTGAAAGATCATGGAGGTAAGGATAATGGCAACACTATCAAGATGATTTCGACTCATCTGATGTTCTTGTGGTTTCAAGCGGCGACTCAAGTAAAGAGTCGATTATGGATTTAGGTTACACTTGTCACATGACTATAAACAAATACTTTCTCGAGGAACTATGTGATTAAGATGGTGGATCTGTATTGCTTGGAAACAATAACGCTTGCAAGATTGCAGGTCTTGAATCTGTGAGATTCAAGCTCCATGATAAGTCAATAAGGTTGTTGACTAAAATCAGGTATGTACCTGATTTGAAGAGAAATTTGATCTCTCTTGGTGAATTCAACAAGAAAGGATATGTTTTCAAAGGAGAGAAAAGTATTCTGAAAGTCATGAAGGGGTCGAAGGAAGTCTAAAGAGGCGTGAAGAAACAAGGCTTGTATACCCTTGAGGCTGAAGTTGTAAGTGGTTTTGTAGATGTTGTATCCATGAAACCTTTGTCGAAGATAGAAATTTAGCACATGAGATAGGGCCATATCAGAGAAAGGGGTCTGGTCAAACTGGGGAAACAAAATCTGTTTGGTCAAGACAAAGTCAAAAAGCTAAAA